ATACTGTGGATGCTTGTTGCAATATTAATACCTGAGCGTGTCGTTGATCCTGGTGTGTGGGACAGAGAGGAGCTTTAAATCCCTCGGATCTGGATTCTAGGCCTTCATTGTTTCAGAGCTACTCCGGCCCAACAGTTAACTCGAAAATAAACAGCGATCGGTATAAAAATACAGCTCCATCAGTCACCGTGAACTGTGACCAGTGCCACTGCTCATAAAATCGTCGATTTCTGTCCTTGTACTAAAAATAAACCTGATTAAAACCCAGACAGAGAGAGGCTGTCGAGCTCCCGGTACATCCGAAGCCTGATTATCAGCTGCTTCAGTCAGGCTCAGGCTTCCTGTCCACGGGCGCAGCACTGCGCATGCGCATATAGCTTTACACGTTTTATAACACGCGCACTGAGATTAGCAATTGTGCAACTGTTGATGATGATGGGAAATTACCATGGCACTGCTCACCATGTTTCCCGTTTACTGAAAACTCGCCATTGACGTACACGGACTATTTCACGTCAACTGTAACGGAAGATATTAGAAAACCATGTATTTTTTATGCGTATTAATGCACTTAACATAGAGCAATGTATACACTTGCGATCAACTTAGAATTTTCAAAAGCTCATAAACGTTTCTAATCCAGATCCAAACTGGTTTAAAAAAAGTACATATATAACACGTTAAGCATATTACAAGCGTTAATGCCAGTTTGTTATGTAACATTTTGGGTAATACTTTATTTTAGTGCACTTGTTACATGTAGGCTACTTGTGTATAATTACATGCAACTAACCCTCAACCAAATCCTACTCCTACTCCAAACCCTATAGTAAACATGTTGTTAATTAGTTTCATCTATCATTACACTGTAACAAGGGAAGCTTAAAATGAAGTCTAACCCATTTTTGTTATAAACATTTTGTTTTATAATACAGCTGTTATTCAACCCCTATTCAACACTTTTGCTTTTAAAACACCTAGTATAGAATTGTGTATTAAGCCTCTATAACTCTAACAATAGCTATTTAGGTTTAGACACAGATGACATCGTTGTATGTTTAAAATAGCATAGCAAAACATCCAGGCAGGGCATGGAAGAAAAAGTACAATTACGTCAAGGGAAATAAAATGTTTGATCAGAAAATCTGAGGAAAAACCCTGGATTTACTATCCATCAAGTGACCTAAAGGTGTACTAAAACTCCATCAGGTGACCTATTGGTGTCCTAAAACTCCATCAAGTGACCTAAAGGTGTCCTAAAACTCCATCAGGTGACCTACAGGTGTCCTAAAACTCCATCAGGTGACCTAAAGGTCATAAAACTCCATCAGGTGACCTAAAGGTCATAATACTCCATCAAGTGACCTAAAGGTGGCCTAAAACTCCATCAGGTGACCTAGTGGTGTCCTAATACTCCATCAAGTGACCTAAATGTGTCCTTAAACTCCATCAGGTGACCTAAATGTGTCCTAAAACTCCATCAGGTGACCTAAAGGTGTCCTAAAACTCCATCAAGTGACCTAAATGTGTCCTTAAACTCCATCAGGTGACCTAAATGTGTCCTAAAACTCCATCAAGTGATCTAAACGTGTCTTTAAAGTGACCTAAAGGTGTCCTTAAACTCCATCAAGTGACCTAAAGGTGTCCTAAAACTCCATCAGGTGACCTATTGGTGTCCTAATACTCCATCAAGTGACCTAAAGGTGTCCTAAAACTCCATCAGGTGACCTACAGGTGTCCTAAAACTCCATCAGGTGACCTAAAGGTCATAAAACTCCATCAGGTGACCTAAAGGTCATAATACTCCATCAAGTGACCTAAAGGTGGCCTAAAACTCCATCAGGTGACCTAGTGGTGTCCTAATACTCCATCAAGTGACCTAAATGTGTCCTTAAACTCCATCAGGTGACCTAAATGTGTCCTAAAACTCCATCAGGTGACCTAAAGGTGTCCTAAAACTCCATCAAGTGACCTAAATGTGTCCTTAAACTCCATCAGGTGACCTAAATGTGTCCTAAAACTCCATCAAGTGATCTAAATGTGTCTTTAAAGTGACCTAAATGTGTCCTTAAACTCCATCAAGTGACCTAAAGGTGTCCTAAAACTCCATCAGGTGACCTAAAGGTCATAAAACTCCATCAGGTGACCTAAAGATGTCCTAAAAGTGACCTAAAGGTGTCCTAAAAGTGACCTAAAAATGTCCTAAAACTCCATCAAGTGACCTAAAGGTGTCCTAAAACTCCATCAGGTGACCTAAAGGTCATAAAACTCCATCAGGTGACCTAAAGATGTCCTAAAAGTGACCTAAAGGTGTCCTAAAAGTGACCTAAAAATGTCCTAAAACTCCATCAAGTGACCTAAAGGTGTCCTAAAACTCCATCAGGTGACCTAAAAGTCATAAAACTCCATCAGGTGACCTAAAGATGTCCTAAAAGTGACCTAAAGGTGTCCTAAAACTCCATTAGGTGACCTAAAGGTGTCCTAAAAGTGACCTAAAAATGTCCTAAAACTCCATCAAGTGACCTAAAGGTGTCCTAAAACTCCATCAGGTGACCTAAAGATGTCGTAACAGTGTACTAAAGGTGTCCTTAAACTCCATTAAGTGACCTAAAGGTGTCCTAAAACTCCATCAGGTGACCTAAAGATGTCCTAAAAGTGACCTAAAGGTGTCCTAAAAGTGACCTAAAAATGTCCTAAAACTCCATCAGGTGACCTAAAGGTCATAAAACTCCATCAGGTGACCTAAAGATGTCCTAAAAGTGACCTAAAGGTGTCCTAAAACTCCATTAGGTGACCTAAAGGTGTCCTAAAAGTGACCTAAAAGTGACCTAAAGGTGTCCTTAAACTCCATCAAGTGACCTAAAGGTGTCCTAAAACTCCATCTAGTGACCTAAAGGTGTCCTAAAACTCCATCAGGTGACCTAAAGGTGTCCTAAAACTCCATCTAGTGACCTAAAGCTGTCCTAAAACTCCATCAGGTGACCTAAAGGTGTCCTAAAACTCCATCAGGTGACCTAAAGGTGTCCTAAAACTCCATCTAGTGACCTAAAGGTGTCCTAAAACTCCATCAGGTGACCTAAAGGTGTCCTAAAACTCCATCAGGTGACCTAAAGGTGTCCTAAAACTCCATCTAGTGACCTAAAGGTGTCCTAAAACTCCATCTAGTGACCTAAAGCTGTCCTAAAACTCCATCAGGTGACCTAAAGGTGTCCTAAAACTCCATCAAGTGACCTAAAGGTGTCCTAAAACTCCATCTAGTGACCTAAAGGTGTCCTAAAACTCCATCAGGTGACCTAAAGGTGTCCTAAAACTCCATCTAGTGACCTAAAGGTGTCCTAAAACTCCATCAGGTGACCTAAAGGTGTCCTAAAACTCCATCTAGTGACCTAAAGCTGTCCTAAAACTCCATCAGGTGACCTAAAGGTGTCCTAAAACTCCATCAGGTGACCTAAGGGTGTCCTAAAAGTGACCTAAAACTCCATCAGGTGACCTAAAGGTTTCCTAAAACTCCATGTGACCCAAAGGTGTCCTAAAAGTGACCTAAAGGTGTCCTTAAACTCCATCAAGTGACCCAATGGAGAAAAAAAAACCCCGCAGACCTGTGATAAACACTGATGGTGTTCACATGCGCATTAAGAATTGATTCTATAGTTATGTGCGTTTGAATATGTGTGCGCTGGTTTGTAATTCCCTACAAAACCATAGAGGTCTTCATCTTAGAGGAGCACCAAAGAGGTCTTTTATTAGACCAATCACATCTGGAATATGCAGAGGTTGAAGTCGCACACTTACGTCTCTCAGAGTGCTCTGCTTCATCTTGATCTCCTGTAAAACAATAGTACGTAACACTAAATGAACACACGTTTCAATCACAAGCTTATTTCCGGGTCCGGTTTACCTCCACAACCTCAGGAAACTCTGTCCTTCAGGTTGTATGGCAAGCTCTCTATCTAGCTGTCTTTTCTGACAGACACGTTTAAAAAACAATAAAAGAGTGAATGATAACCAATTTTAAGCACACTCTGGAAGCATGAATATTACCAACACAATCTCATGGCTATTCACAACTATTTCAAGTGACGCTCACTGTAGTAGAGCCAAATGAGTGGAGCTTGATCCAGATCTTCAGGCCAGGTCATGGGTCCTTGAAAACGTCTATAGAAAGATTCTTCAAAACAAACTTGATTATTAATGCAGGACTGAATCTAGGCTAATTGTTAAATAACCATTTAACAGTGATAATAATGAATCATTACTTTAGCCTATACTGCTTAGCTAAAAATGGACAATTCAGCATTTAAAGCATGCCATAGGGTAGCGTTGGGCAACAGTGAATTGCCAAATAAATCTGAATTTTTGGGCAAAATGCGATGTATGGTATTATTTTTTTTCTCTTTGAATAAAAAAAAAAATAAAAAAATATGTATTTAATTTTTTTTTCACATCCTGATCAAAATTGTCCAACAAACAATGTTCATATTGAAGGCTATGAAAACAATAACCTATTCTAGACGTTCAATGTGATGGAAAAGTCCCTTTCAGACTTTGGTGCGTCACCCATCGACTATCTTGTTTTATTCTTCCCCGCTTTCGGACAGTCGTGGAAATGCTATGAAGGATTTTTCTTTTGCTATCGGAGCAAATGGGAATGTGTCCCTTTCACCGCTTTTAGAAGTTTACTAATGATGGCATTTTTAATCATGTAAATGAAATGGTGCAAATTTTGTTTTAGAATATTTTAGATTTTTTTTTAATACAGTTTGATGGTTAAAGTCTCAAAATGTTGCAGGCGGTACCATTTCTAAAACCAAAAGCCTTATTAATGTATATTCCAAACCATTAAATAAAAATCTCAGTTACACCTTAAGCATAAACAAGGAACATCACTATACTATTTCAATACATTCTTCTGTAGCGTCACGTGATCATGTCTTAATAAATATATTACAGAATGGTTACATGTGAATTAGAAATGTTATTTACCACACAAAACACAAATATAAGGATAAATCTCCCTTTAATTAATATGGGAATCAAAGCTGCTCAGACCACAGCAGGGATGTGCACTTTAAAAATAACACAAAATAAAACCATAAAAACTTAAAATACACAGAGCCTTAGAAGACCAAATCTAAAAACAAATCAAATCATGTTACCTAAGCTCTTATTTCAACATTTTCATATATTATTATTCTTTAAGATGAGTAAAATCTTCATCATCGGCCTCAGTGACCGCTGGTTAGTGTTTTGGAGGAGTGTTAAGCCATGTGCGGAAACTCCCGAAGGATGTCAGCGCACGAGGAGACGTCTGCAAAAGGAAACAAGTTAGCATTCTCCAATCATACTGAGTCCTGCTCTGTGGAACTAACTGGAATAATATATCATAGCATATCATGTAATCATATCATATATCTTTTGAAAACTTCCCTATTTCAATAAATAGTTGACATGAAATGTTGAGGAGTGACAGTGATGTGACATAATCCTCTAAAACCATATTTAATTTTAATCAATAATATAAATGGAGTTTTATGTCCTTACATTAAATGAGAGACTATATCGACTTTTGTTACTTAACCAGATTTATCCAACCTGATAAATTAACCAATTATTTATCACACAGCATAACTATTGAACTATATATATATATATATATATATACACTGTTGAAGGTGATTAAACATGTTGAATAATTCAAAGAAATCATACCTAGCAACAGAAAATAAAATTTAGCGTGCACAATAATAATACATTTAATATTAACAATGACTGTATTATGTAATACTGTAACTACCATACTCCTATATACATAAACTACCGTTTAAAGGTTTGGGGTCAAATTAATACTTTCGTCCAGCATGAATGCATGACAAAGATTTCTATTAAAAACAAATATCTGAGCAGCAAATCAGCATATTAAAATTCAGCTTTGATCAGATAAATAAATGACACTTTAATATATTTTCAAACGGAAAACTATGGAAGATTGTTTCCGCCACAGAATGAAAAATAAAAAATGTAATTGCGACTTTTTATCTCACAATTCTGACTTTATTTCTCACAATTGCGTGATATAAAGTCAGAATTACGAGATGTAAAGTCAGAATTGCATGTATCTCGCAATTCTGACTTTATATCTCGCAATTCTGACTTTATTTCGCAATTCTGACTTTATATCTCACAATTCTGACTTTATTTCGCAATTCTGACTTTATATCTCGCAATTCTGACTTTATATCTCGCAATTCTGACTTTAAATCGCAATTCTGACTTTATATCTCGCAATTCTGACTTTATATCTCGCAATTCTGACTTTAAATCGCAATTCTGACTTTATATCTCGCAATTCTGACTTTATATCTCGCAATTCTGACTTTATTTCGGAATTCTGACTTTATATCTCGCAATTCTGACTTTATATCTCGCAATTCTGACTTTATTTCGCAATTCTGACTTTATATCTCACAATTCTGACTTTATTTCGCAATTCTGACTTTATATCTCGCAATTCTGACTTTATATCTCGCAATTCTGACTTTAAATCGCAATTCTGACTTTATATCTCGCAATTCTGACTTTAAATCGCAATTCTGACTTTATATCTCGCAATTCTGACTTTATATCACACAATTCTGACTTTATTTCGCAATTCTGACTTTATATCTCACAATTCTGACTTTATATCTCACAATTCTGACTTTATATCTCGCAATTCTGACTTTATATCTCGCAATTCTGACTTTATTTCACAATTCTGACTTTATATCTCGCAATTCTGACTTTATATCTCACAATTCTGACTTTATTTCGCAATTCTGACTTTATATCTCGCAATTCTGACTTTATATCACACAATTCTGACTTTATATCTCGCAATTCTGACTTTATTTCGCAATTCTGACTTTATATCTCGCAATTCTGACTTTATATCTCGCAATTCTGACTTTATTTCGCAATTCTGACTTTATATCTCGCAATTCTGACTTTATATCACACAATTCTGACTTTATATCTCGCAATTCTGACTTTATATCTCGCAATTCTGACTTTATATCTCGCAATTCTGACTGTATATCACGCAATTGTGAGATAAAAAGTCGCAATTATTTGTTTTCTTTTTTTTATTCAGTGGCGGAAACAAGCTTCCATAGAAAACAGCTAAGTAGTAATATTTCTAAATATATATATTTTTTACAGTATTTTTTAACCTTTTTTTCTTACCGGCCACAGACATTTAGGCACTGTAAATACATACATACAACATAAATGTGAAACTAAAATCTTTGTGTTGAATAAAAAAATAAGGAAATTGATCAACTAGCCCATGGGATTTTTTTAAAGCACCAGTCTGATTTGTGTGAGAACTCAGGAAGAGAGAGATCAGAGACCATACTGACGAGCAGCATTTTCAAGATATATTTATGATATTTTTCAGCCAGTAGCACACAAATATAATCACAGAACCCTTTTAAATGAGGTCAGAGACCCATAAAGTGAAAGACCCAAACCCAGAAGTGAACAGTCTGTAACATCACTCACTCGAAAACTCTTGCGCGTTACCCTCAGTGGACTCACAGGTATACTGGCTTCTAGAAGAGGAATAATACCTGGTAAGACAATGTTACCATCACAATATAATCACAGAAAATACGCCTTGCATGGGAAAATTGCATTATGGGTGTCACCAAGAAAGAAAATCCCCACCCCAACACCTCACTGTCTGCAAAAGCCTTCGTAAGGAAGAGAGAAAGAGAAATATGAGCTCAAGACTTTGCCTGTTTTATTGTTTGTCAGTGTTTCAAAAGACAAGCTTCTTTATAGACTTCTGTCATACAAACAATAACAAACAATTGTACAAACAATACAAGAATGTCTCCAAACACAGAACGTCATCTAACAGTGTGAAAACAGATTGCACCCAATGTTGCAAGAGAAAACGAGTTAAAGGTCCGAACGCAAGAACCACAGTTCGAGAGAGAGAGAGAGAGAGAGCAAGCAGTTGAAAAGAGTTCAAAGGTCAAAGCATATTCACAGCACAGTAGTTACGTACGTACTTTTTCGACTAAACTTTTGTATAAAACACATCCAGACACAATGACTGAACTGGTCCCTTCTTGGCGAATATCTATTCTACACACGGTCTCCATTTTCAGATGATAAAAACTTTTTTTATATTTCAGTTCATCGATCGTTTCTTTAAAACAAAAACTTAAAATGTACAATTACATTTTCCTTTCTTCAAGCTATTTCCATTAAGATTTCTGTTTTCCGATTAATTTCCGTCTTTTGCACTTGCTTTATAGCCTACCTGTATAAAGGTGAAGTGTGTCATTAGTCAATGTTAAAATGTGTTTCTAAGTCAGAAACTATGAGCAAACCATAGGCCGAGTCCGTTTAATAAAGAGTAAATGCTCCGGGGAACTATCAAAACATTGCTGTTTTTATTTTTATTATTATTATAATTTGTTTTTATGTTATGTTAACCATATGCTTCATTATATATGTGCATACATACAGTATGTATATATCTCTACTCTATTTCTGTGGCTTGTACGTACACTCTAAAAAATGCTGGGTTATTTCAACCCAAATTTGGGTCAAATATGGACAAACCCAGATGTTGGGTTAAAAATGTAATTAAAAAATGTACAGTTGAAAGTGAAAGTTGAAGTTGGGTTCAAAAACAACCCAGCATTGTTTAGAGTCAGTTTTGGGTGTAACTAATTACTAAGTAATTAGTTACTGTAATTTAATTACTTTTCCCTTGAAAATGTAAAGTATGGGATTACTTTAATTTAATTACAGTCACTTCTGATGTAATTGAGGTAAATACTGTGTATAGATCAATCCGATCTCACAGCGATTCGTATGCATTTTATGAGGTGTCTAAATCGTACGACCGCACTCGTACAAATTCGTATGAATTATTGTAAAATATGTATGAAAAAAGTGTGAAATGTCATGAGATCAGACATAAAACAATAGTGGGTTTAACATCAAAATGTATTGTCTGATGCTAAAAAGTATGTTTTTATAATGTAACCTTCTCCTCCGTGGTCAGTTTAAGGATAGTTCATGCAATTTTATAGTATTTATTTGAAAGAATTAAAACAGATTCATGTCTATCATTGTATTATTCAGCTGGTTGAGATTGATATGGGATTTTGAAAGTAATTAGTAATTAAAAGTAATCAAATACTTTTTAGAGAGAGCAATTAGTACAGTAATCTAATTACACTGTTGAAGAGGTAATTAGTAACTAGTAATTAATTACTTTTTTAGAGTAACTTACCCAACACTGTTTAGAGTGCACCTGTATGTATTGAAAATGTATCACAAAAACCAAACAAAAAGCCATTGCTGTTTGTTTGAGGATCTAACCCATCCGAAATAGCAACAGCGGGACAGCCAATGGTGTGAATTTGGGGGCGAGACTATTTGTTTGTTGACCAATGGCTGTTTGAGAGACATATTTTTTTACACACTTCACCTTTACTTGTAAAAATCCAGTCATGAATGCCAGAGCGTCACACAGAATCCTATCCCACTACACCCCAAATCAATGTTTCATTCACAATACTGAATGTTTTTTCATTTTTTCTTATTCACAGTGTATTTCTTAATCATTAAAATGCCAAAGAGATTTTATTTGTTAAAATTGGTCTTAGTTAGCAAGCTAACAGCTTAGCATATTGCTAACTGCTTAAATTAGCGACGTTGATAGGATTCTGATGGCGTATTCTTAAAACTGGGATCATCTGAACCGAACGCGGTCAAAAAATGGACAACACAGCGCAGATGTCATCTGCAGTCATGCATTTTTACATAATGACAGCATCAGGTGGCTAAAATAAGGAACCATGCTTGCTAATGCAGACGGGCAGATTTGCCTCGGTATGCGAGCGAGTAAACGCATGCAAATACTGACAGCTTCTAGACAAGCGTTTCTCATTAAAAATCACATGACAGTCATTTGAGAGCTTGGCAATACAAGTACAAATATATAAAACAGACGGCTGCGATACGTTTTATAAATAATTTCGAATAGCTGACATCTTTTTAAAACTTTAAAGGGGTCAAAACACCCGTTTCGTTAGCATATGAGGGGTTCTGATGTGTTCGTGAAACGCGCAAGACAAAAAAGGTCCAGATAGGCAAACGTAAATGCCCATACATATTTCCATATTCTAGTTATAATTGCACTAATCCTCAGGACGGAACATAAATAAAAAGCACAACAAACATCATCAACATGAGGCAAAATAACATAAAAAGAAAAGAACTCTGTTGTAAAAAAACAAAAAAATACTGTCGGTAGGAAAAGTGCGCACAGTCATATTTTGCACATAATGACTCAATAACACTCAGAAACGCTGTTTTTGAATGACTAATTCAGTAAGACAAGGCCGTTAATCCATCAATGTATTATTTAATCGCGATTAACGTCACGTTTGAATGATGCCTCAGCCGTCTATACTGCCTATGACGGCTATACTAGCCGTTCCATTACAATATTTTGTGTTAACCACATACATACGAACACAACGTGTAAACTATACTTGGTCAGGTGAGGAGGAAGTTGAGGATATCACTCAATCCTTGCTAAAGCTATTCCTGTTACGGGCTACAAACTGAGTACGTGCTCCTCCTCACAGTCTGCCAGCGCTCAAGAGCGCCCCCTAGCATTCGTCAATGGTGAGGCAGATAAACTCCTGAATACACTTTTTGTACTGCTGCTCTGTGGGACTGCTGCTGGGATATTGACCTGGCTGTCCGAAGGGCCCGTCCGCTTCCCGCATCTCTTCATTCATCCGAGCTAACCGCAATCTAAACGAGACAGAGAGAACAAAAACATGGGTTTCGTGTGCAGTGGCAACATGGTGTCGGCCCAGATCCGGTACATCTGGATTCGTCAGGTACCAAATGTGGGCCGACGCTATGTTGCTGTCTGAGTCTCTGGGAGAATCTACAAGGGAAGTGAAGTACTGGACTTACAATGTGACGATGTCTGCATTGGCTGCCTGAACGGCGATACTGAGAGGGTCCTGCCCGTCTCCGTCCACCTCCATCTGAGAGGCTCCTCGCTTCAGGAACAAACACACCTGTCTGTGGACACAAACAAACAACTAAAACTTCACTGTGTAACTTCACAAAATGGACACACCTCTTGAGGGAAATAACATCACAACATTGCTTTCCATCAAGAGGTGCATCAGTTTTTGGTATTGACTGCAAGAGTCCAGCACTCGGACACTATTACTATTACCAAACACTATTACTAAACTATTCTTCATTCTCCTCCTAACCATTCATTCACAATTCAAGCCTGATGAATCTTGACATTGTCATCCTGGAATATGGCCGTGATGTGTCTTTTAGAGCCAGGCCGATATTATCGGCCGATATTAGCCCTAAGGATGCACAATATATCGGCCAGCATATCGGTATCGGCCGATATATGTTCATTTTTAATGTTATCGTTATCGGCCAAAATGTGGCCGATATATTAAAGCTGATAAATTAAAGCTTCAGCTGAGACACTTGTTGAGAACTGTTTATGTTTTTGAATTTCTTGAAATATGATTGAAATCTCTTCAACAAATGAAAATACGGTTCGGTACAACATGTGCAGCGCAAATCTGTCATATCGGCTATACAACACTATAACATGGACATGGATTTAATTGTGAGACTTTTGTTCTTGTAATCAGGCTCTCAAAATCAGATATTAATTTGGATTTAAGTTTATCGGCCGATATATCGGTTATCGGCTTTCAAATATAAAGAATTATCGGTTAGCGGTATCGGCCAAAATTTTCATATCGGTGCATCCCTAATTAGCCCCACTATTGTTTTATGTCTGATCTCATGACATTTCACACATATTTTACAATAATTCATACGAATTTGTACGAGTGCAGTCATACGATTTAGACACCTCATAAAATGCATACGAATCGCTGTGAGATCGGATTGATCTATACACAGTATTTACCTCAATTACTTCAGAAGTACCGGTAATTAAATTACAGATAAATGCAGAGTAATCTCTTACTTTACATTTTCAAGGGAAAAGTAATTAAATTACAGTAACTAATTACTTACTAATTAGTAATTATCATATTATTTTAGTTAAAACTCATAAATAACTACTAATGTTAGGGAAATCTGTTAATGTTTTGTTGCGCGTTTCTGGGGAAATAATATCGGCCGATATATCGGAATATCGGATTTTAAAACTAACAAATATTTCTATCGGCCTTCAAAATCCTTTATCGGGCGGGCTCTTTCTACATGGTTGTTTAAGAAATGAAAAGCTACACACTCCATCGATAAGGGTTAGATGAACTGTTGCCAAACATGCTAGAAACATAATAATCACTGCAATAATCATCCAACCATAGACTCTTAAACATTTATGGTACCAGTATATTATGACTTAACACGCAATTGCGACTTTACATCATGCAATTCTGACTTTTATCTCCCGATTTCATGTTATAAAGTCAGAATTGCAAGATATAAACATGCCAAAAATAAACAGGAACATCCAAGGCACTCTCTTTAGAAAAGTGTCGGAGTGGTTTTAGTGTTGATTATGACCAAGCCATAGTAATAAAGGTTTTTTACTTTTCTAAAGAGAGTGCCTTGGATGTTCCTGTTTATTTTTATATGTTTTTTCCTATCCAAAGAGCACCGCAAACTTATACACTTGAGTCCAGGAAGCGCTTCTCTACAGACATTTGTTTATATAAACATGCAACTCGAATTCTTTCTCACAATTGCGAATTTGTATTTGACAATTCTAACTTAATAACATGCAATTGGGACTTCATATCACGCAATTCTCACTTTATAACACACAATTGTGACTTTATATCATGCAATTGTGAGAAAAAAAGTCAGAATTGTAAGATACAAAGTTTTTATTTTTTATTCTGTTTCCATACAGATGACTAGATTTGATAAACAAAACTTTTATGCAAGGTTGTCACAGTCTTGAGTGATTTCGTACCCCGTGTAACCCAGGCACGTGGCGTGGTGGAGAGGTGCCCGTCCTCGCCCGTCCCTCTGATTGACGTCTGCTCCATTCTGCAGCAGGAACTCACAGGCTATCAGAGAGCCCTATGAGACGGATATCAAACATTAGGAGACACATTGATTACAGTAAACATCGATCATTAACACTATTAGCTCTAAAAAAAGGTGTAAATAAAAGAAAATTTCTGGATTACGCTTGACAAAAATACTATTTCAGTCTTTCTACTTGTAAATGGTTTCAAAATAAATCCTACAGCAGTTTTCTTCATCAGAACAGAGAGTCTCACCCCTGTGACGGCTTGTATTAATGCACTCTTGCTTTCGTCCTCCTCGTTGACCGAGTTGACATCTGCACCGTGTGCGAGTGCTTCCGCCATGACCGGGAGGTTCCTGGCCCGCGACGCCTTGTGAAGCAGAGCGTTCGCGTCAAGCTCCCGCCCGTCTTCTGGATCAGACGCTTCCTGCTCGATATCGACCTCTCCGCTGGATTCATCAGAGTCCTCACACTCTGCAATAAAACAGAAAGACATGGAGATACGCACAACAGATAGATACACTCACCTAAAGGATTATTAGGAACACCACACTAATACTGTGTTTGACCCCCTTTCGCATTAATTCTACGTGGCATTGATTCAACAAGCATTCTTTAGAAATGTTGGCCCATATTGATAGGATAGCATCTTGCAGTTGATGGAGATTTGTGGGATGCACATCCAGGGCACGAAGCTCCCGTTCCACCACATCCCAAAGATGCTCTATTGGGTTGAGATCTGGTGACTCTGGCGGCCATCTTGGTACAGTCAACTCATTGACATGTTCAAGAAACCAATTTGAAATGATTCCAGCTTTGTGACATGGTGCATTATCCTGCTGGAAGTAGCCATCAGAGGATGGGGACATGGTGGCCATAAAGGGATGGACATGGTCAGAAACAATGCTCAGGTAGGCCGTGGCGTTTAAACGATGCCCAATTGGCACTAAGGGGCCTAAAGTGTGCCAAGAAAACCATTACACCACCACCACCAGCCTGCACAGTGGGAACAAGGCATGATGATCCATGTTCTCATTCTGTTTACGCCAAATTCTGACTCTACCAACAGAAATCGAGACTCATCAGACCAGGCAACATTTCTCCAGTCTTCAACTGTCCAGTTTTGGTGAGCTCTTGCAAATTGTCGCCTCTTTTTCCTATTTGTAGTGGAGATGAGTGGTACCCGGTGGGGTCTTCTGCTGTTGTAGCTCATCCGCCTCAAGGTTGTGTGTGTTGTGTCTTTGCTGCATACCTCGGTTGTAACGAGTGGTTATTTCAGTCAAAGTTGCTCTTTTATCAGCTTGAATCAGTCGGCCCATTCTCCTCTGACCTCTCGCATCAACAAGGCATTTTGGCCCACAGGACTGACCCATACTGGATGTTTTCCCTTTTCACTCCATTCTTTGTAAACCCTAGAAATGGTTGTGTGTGAAAATCCCAGTAACTGAGCAGATTGTGAAATACTCAGACTCAAAATTGCTTAAATCCCCTTTCTTTCCCATTCTGACATTCAGTTTGGAGTTCAGGAGATTGGCACTAAGGGGCCTAAAGTGTGCCAAGAAAACCATTACACCACCACCACCAGCCTGCACAGTGGGAACAAGGCATGATGATCCATGTTCTCATTCTGTTTACGCCAAATTCTGACTCTACCAACAGAAATCGAGACTCATCAGACCAGGCAACATTTCACCAGTAATGACTGTACCAAGATTAAACGATGCCCAATTGGCACTAAGGGGCCTAAAGTGTGCCAAGAAAACCATTACACCACCACCACCAGCCTGCACAGTGGGAACAAGGCATGATGATCCATGTTCTCATTCTGTTTACGCCAAATTCTGACTCTACCAACAGAAATCGAGACTCATCAGACCAGGCAACATTTCACCAGTAATGACTGTACCAAGATTAAACGATGCCCAATTGGCACTAAGGGGCCTAAAGTGTGCCAAGAAAACCATTACACCACCACCACCAGCCTGCACAGTGGGAACAAGGCATGATGATCCATGTTCTCATTCTGTTTACGCCAAATTCTGACTCTACCAACAGAAATCGAGACTCATCAGACCAGGCAACATTTCACCAGTAATGACTGTACCAAGATTAAACGATGCCCAATTGGCACTAAGGGGCCTAAAGTGTGCCAAGAAAACCATTACACCACCACCACCAGCCTGCACAGTGGGAACAAGGCATGATGATCCATGTTCTCATTCTGTTTACGCCAAATTCTGACTCTACCAACAGAAATCGAGACTCATCAGACCAGGCAACATTTCTCCAGTCTTCAACTGTCCAGTTTTGGTGAGCTCTTGCAAATTGTCGCCTCTTTCTCCTATTTGTAGTGGAGATGAGTGGTACCCGGTGGGGTCTTCTGCTGTTGTAGCTCATCCGCCTCAAGGTTGTGTGTGTTGTGTCTTTGCTGCATACCTCGGTTGTAACGAGTGGTTATTTCAGTCAAAGTTGCTCTTCTATCAGCTTGAATCAGTCGGCCCATTCTCCTCTGACCTCTCGCATCAACAAGGCGTTTTGGCCCACAGGACTGACCCATACTGGATGTTTTCCCTTTTCACTCCATTCTTTGTAAACCCTAGAAATGGTTGTGTGTGAAAATCCCAGTAACTGAGCAGATTGTGAAATACTCAGACTCAAAATTGCTTAAATCCCCTTTCTTTCCCATTCTGACATTCAGTTTGGAGTTCAGGAGATTGTCTTGACCAGGACCACACCCCTAAATGCATTGAAGCAACTGCCATGTGATTGGTTGATTAGATAATTGCATTAATGAGAAATTGAACAGGTGTTCCTAATAATCCTTTAAGTGAGTGTATACTAATGTAGGACATCTTCTCACCTTCTTCAGTGACACTGTCCACCACTGAGCCGAACACGAGTATGTCCGTGCTGCCGTCCGTGCTGCCGCCAAGCCCGCTGTCACTGCTGAGACCTGCGGGGCCAACGGGTGCCAAGCGAGGGACAAGTTACTCACACCGTGACCTTCTCAAACATCCTGTGCTAAACTCCTCACATAGTACATCATTTAATTATAATTAATCTGAAACAGGCTACGTGTTACTGCAGGCATTCCCTATAAAATCAACAGTGTTGGGGCTAACGCATTAAAAGGTTACTCACGTTACACTGAACACAATTATAGGGTTGCCCCCATTTTTCATGAGCTGAACTCAAAGATCTAAGACTTTTTCTATCTACACAAAAGGCCTATTTCTCTTAAATATTGTTCACAACTCTGTGTTAGTGAGCACTTCTCCTTTGCTGAGATAATCATCCGCGTATCAAGATGCTGATTATTAGACAGCATGATTATTGCACAGGTGTGCCTTAGGCTGTCCACAATAGTGAGCTGGATGAACAAGTAAAGCAAGTTCCTGTCCCCATTTTGAGAGAAATAAGAAGTAAAAACAAATATGTTGTGTGTGGCGTGCGAACATGATGGTTATTGTTGTTCTAATCTAGACTAAATTTGAGAATTTTACATAATATATATATATATATAAATAAATCTCACTCATCCTAGTAGCACATAAACTGATTCACTGTTTAATTAATACAAACAGTCCAATGCAAATTCAGAATATTAAGCAAACCTGCAAAAATGCAAATATCCTTAATGTATTTAATCTCATTGTATTAACCAATGTCTTTGCTGCTGAACTTTGATAATCTAATTCAACTATACTAACAAACAAAGCATCACATTTGTGTTTGATTTTTACATTTTTATTGATCAAGAAAGACTTTCTTCTCCTGCATTAAATTCTACTGCGATCCAGGGGTGTGTTTCCCATACAACGTCTTAACTCGTTGAGCATTGTTGAAGAAATCAACTAGCTAAGTCACGACTGTTTCCCAAAACCATATTGTCGCAAAGTGGTCATTCAACCACGTTGGTTTATGAGGTCATGCACATGGAGGAGTAATAGCTTCTTTTAATGAAACTGTTTGAGATCATGTCTATAATTTATATAAAAACATTGTTAATTCTGAGGAATATTTCTCATTTTTCTCAGTTATTTTGCTTTATTTCCAGATTCAATCATCTCATTCTTACATAATAGAGCATGTCCGCACATGCGCAACTGAAGATGTAAATGACATTTGTATTAGGGATGGGCAACGATTAATCGCATCCAAAATAAAAGTTTGTGTTTACATAATATATGTGTGTGTAGTGTGTATAATTAATTTGTATATATAAATACCCACACATGCATGTATATATTTAAGAAAAATGTGTTATTAATATATCAAATATTTATATATAATATTAATTGTGAATAAATATATATAAAATATATACATGCACATATTTCTTAAATATATACATGAATGTGTGGGTATTTATATATACAAATTAATTATACACACCACACACACATATATTATGTTAACACAAACTTTTATTTTGGATGCGATTAATCGCGATTAATCGTTGCCCATCCCTAATTTGTATGTATTCTAAATAAAAGACACGGGTTGTACTGAATGTCAGCTTGCTTATTTGGCTCAAGATAAGGATTTATGGAGTTATTGAGTCATGCAAACAATAAACTGAGCTGTCAATAAAATAAGCTGTCATTCCAACCACGCGACTGTGGGAAACACTGACTCGTTAAACTATGCTGATAACGAACTTGCGAACATAGTCGGCTAACAATGCTTTAGGGAAACGCACCAGAATGAAATTTGTTTTAAATGGCGCCCTCTACTGTACCGGTGTGAATGTGCATTTCCTTCGGTCTGAGACCAATTCATTTCAATTTTGGTGTGAAAGGGACTTTACATTTGACAAAAACATAACTTTTTTGTTATTAAAAACAAAAGTAACATAAAAAAGTAAAAGTAATGTAACATTACTTTCCATAAAAAGCAACTAGGTAGGTACCACAAAATAGGGCTGTCAATTGATCCAAAATAAAAGTTTGTATTTACATAATATATGTGGGTGCATTGTGTATAATTATTTTGCATATATAAATATTTAAGAAAAAAATATTATTTATATATAAAATATTTATATATTATATATTACTTATATACAGTATACACATGAAAATATTTCTTAAATATATACAAGCATGTGTGTGTATTTATATATATATATAAAATAATTATACACAGTGCACCCACATATATTATGTAAACACAAACTTTTATTTTGGATGCAATTAATCGTTTGAAAGCCCTACCACAAAAAGCTACTTTTTAGGGAGTATTGCAGTGTTGTAAGTAACGTTCCCTTAACACTGACAGCAGGAGATATATGTGATAGACTTGTTTTGTCTCAGGGGCTTTAGAAGATCAAATCTCATAAGAAACTTACTGCGAGGCCCTGAGCCTGTGTCAAAGTAAGAGAAGAGTGAATCGAGCTCATCGGGACAAAACAAAGATTCTCTCCGAAACTTGGCGGCCGCAGCAGCTGAAGGTGACAAACAGAGAAGGACATTTGAGATGATTGGACATGAGATTTGGACACAACCGTGTCCAACTCAGATGAGCAGAACAAACATGTTCAGAAATGAGCAAGCAATTACCAGCGGAGAGATTGCCTGGCGACATGATCCCGGCGTCGTGCCTGTATTTCCGGCGTGTTTTAGGGGCTCTGATGGAGCTGTTGTGTCTCCTGCACTTCTTCACGCTCCAGTGACGTGATTTCCTGCTTCCCTCCACCAGGGCTTCAGAGCCACACATCTTCTTCAGGAACTTCCTCTCCACGTATTTCGCTTTGATCCACGCTTCTTTCTCCTGCCTAAATAAAACATCAGAAGCACAAACGGGAGCTTCTATTAATGAAATATTACATATATAAAAATATAATTACATCAAAAGGAAAAAAAAAAGTTAGGGATTAGAGCCAGACCGATATATCGGCAGACCGATATTATCGGCCGATATTAGGCATTTTCCAAACTATCGGTATCGGCAGTTATAATGGCCGATAAATAAATATATTTCAAAAATAAAATAAAAACGGACAAAACACGCTTGAACCATGTCGTGAGTGTTGGAGTTGTATGGTTTGTCCACCAGAGGGCGCTCTACACCGTCAATGGTTGGCAACACTCGTTGAGTTGGTCACATTGCTTGAATAACAATTAAAAGAACATCCCCATCAGTTCTCTTAAGTCAAATAAGCATGACAAAATTTGTGACTATCATGTCCAGTTTTAAATAAATAAATAAATAAATAAAATATCGGCCGATATATCGGAATATCGGATTTTAAAACCAAAAATATTTGTATCGGTATCGGCCTTCAAAATCCTTTATCGGTCGGGCTCTATTAGGTTATGAAAATATGATATGAAAATATCGATATGAAAATATCAATAACCGATATATTGGCGGAAAAATCTAAATCCAAATTGTTTTATAATTAAATTTTGGAGAGCCTGATTACAAAAATAACTCCCAATATTCAAAAGCCATGTCCCAAGCACACAATTATAATGATCTCATTATAATTTTACGTAGCCTATATGACAGACTTGTTGCGCTTGACTTTTGAAGAGATTTCAATCACATTTCAATCAATTCAAAACCATCATGTTGAACAGTGTGCATCCGAAGTGTCTCAGATGAAGGAAAAAAAATCTGTTATTTACCAATTTTTGTTATCAGGCCGATAACGATAACATTTAAAATGAACATATTTCGTGCGATACCGATATGGAGGCCGTATCCCTAATTTAAGTTATAGATTATGGTAATTAATACAGAGATTTGGCCACACACACTGACCTTGAGCTGTTGGGACCGGGTTTCTTTAGTCCTTGTTCCTCACACGCACCTTCATAAATATGGTTGATTACAGTGTTGCCAAGCTCACACATTAGCTGGAGAGATAAAGCATTATTCAATCAATAAAAGTCAAACATATTAGAACCAAAACTATGTAATAAGCTTATCTAAGATTAAATGAAAGCATAGGAAACTATAGTATAGGAAGTATAGGATTTTAGCAGCAAAGACATTGGTTAATTAAGTAAGATTTTATACATAAAGTATATTTGTGTTATTTAACATTTAAAAAGGAGTAGTTCACTTTTAAAAAAAACTTTTGCTGATAATTCACTCACCCCCGTGTCATCCAAGATGTCCATGTCTTTCTTTCTTCAGTCGAAAAGAAATTAAGGTTTTTGATGAAAACATTCCAGGATTTTTCTCCATATAATGGACTTCAATGGGGTCCAAAAGACAGTTTCAGTGCAAACTGTTCAAAGGGCTTTAAACGATTCCAGACGATGAATAAGGGTCTTTTCAAGCGAAACGAAAATTAAAAAAATAAAAATAAAAAAATAACAAAGTTTAACAAAGATTTGACCCACGTCCATGACTCTCCAGTTCAAACTAGTTTATCAAAATGAACGAATCTTTTTTCGAGTCATGAACGCTCATCACAGAACAGAGCAAGGCGAGCATTTGAGCTTATAAAACTTTAAAATGAGTAATCGTTTCACTTGATAAGACCCTTATTTATCGTCTGGAATCGTTTAAAGCCCTTTGAACAAGTCTTTTTGACCTTGAACTGTTTGGTTCCCATTGAAGTCCATTTTATATGGAGAAAAATGCTGGAATATTTTCATCAAAAACCTTAATTTCTTTTCGACTGAAGAAAGAAAGACATGGACATCTTGGATGACATGGGGGTGAGTAAATTAACAGCAAAAGTTTTTTTTTTAAAGTTAACTACTCCTTTATTGCAGTTTTTCATAATATTCCAAGTTTGTATTTGACAGTTTTGATTTAATTGAGGAATACTGAATCTGTTTTTGTGCTAGTGGGATGAGTAAATGTCTGTTCACATTTAGTCTAGAACTACATTACCCATCATGTTCACTTGCATTACTTATTTGTAAACGAAGTCTATTTTCATAATCAAGCATCCCCCATAACGCTTATTTTTTATGTTGTAATTCTCATTATTATTATTCTTTTATTATAAAACGGAATCTTATGCAGATCATTTGCATGCACGCTTCTATAAAAATATTTATATAAAGATACTACATTTATATAAAAATACTACAATAATACATGCATACTTTAATGCAGATAAAGATATATTCTTCAAATTGCATAGTAATGAGAATTAAGTTTTGAAAAAGGTAAAGAATATTAGATTATTTTAATATAATTTGTATTATATATCAATGAAAATTAAGTTTCTTCATTTTATTTTTCTTTGATATCTTTTAGTTTGGCGTTAAATGAGATTCACCCTTTCAGATCGCACTTCATCACTCAGGTCTTACCTTCATAAGCTCTGGCTCCCACGTGTCCAGTGTTAAAGAGCGAACTTTAGAGCAGTGGACACCTAAACTCCTGCACACATAGAATAGAGATCATAAACATTACCCTATAATCAAGAATCTTCAATATGGAATTATTCTGATTTAGGCACACATACATTTTATACATCCAGTTCTATTTTTCCGTGATTAAAAATACATATTTAACTTAAATTAGTCAAAGTGGAACAATGGCACTGTAGAAACCCATCCGAATCTGTCAGATCTCCCTCTGTTGTACGTGAGCAAATCAAATCTAGTGCCTCTGTGTATCATGAGTGCAGTCTTTGAGGAGGCAGGAGAGATTTAATCTGATTATCAGGCCGGCGCCGCTAATCTGCAGAGGAACTGATGAAGCAGAAAAGGTGCTTCACCCAGAGGGAATGACGCAGTGTGTGTACACGAGCATCACAGGGATGAGGGCCTGATTCACGTAAAGCCAGTCTGCTGTTGGGTTCAATCTGTCATCGGAGATGTAGTCGGGATAAACGCACTGACGCAGGAGGCTTTAAGACCTATCAATCTTCAGTCAAAACAATATAGAAACAGATGGCCTCTCTCGGATGTTTAGAAATATAATAGGAAGTGAGCATCCCTTTGGCCCGCTGACTCTGAAGGGCCCTTGAAGTGAGCACTTTGGAGGAGGCAGGGCACTTGTGTGACTATGTAAACGTTTGAAACACACTTGGTGAAGGAACAACAAAAATAACGCGATTTCTTCTTTATTTTCACTTGGAACGTCAATGCAGATTGGTTTCCATCACTCCATTAGCTGCTATTACGATTTAAGAATTTAATTTTTGCAAATAAATATATGAAGAGCTTCTAAGTGCCATTTGAAATTTTCTTCTAGAATGATCATTTTTATCAAGCTTGTATATTTAAGTTCAGTGATTTCACTTAAATGGCAATGGTAATTACCTATTAATTGTTATTTAAGTGAAATTACTGAACTTAAATATACAAGTTTGATAAAAATCATCATTAAAGAAGAAAATTTCAAATGGCATTTAGAGGCTTTTGCATCTGAACTCTTCATATATTGTACAGTTAAGTGCTTTATACGTGTACGGCCTAAAACGAACACTCGCCAAGCGACAAATGAGAGTAAAAATCAGTCAAGAGATTCATTCAGTGATTTTGTTTTTATATTTGTGTTTTGTTGTTTGAATAACATTAAAAACACAGACAGCAGCAGGAATATTAGGCTGCTGTCACTTTAAGAGCTAATACCTAATATAAGACATATGACTATACGTATTTTCTGGACTACTCTCTATTTTTTAACAATTTTGTGTGAATTTGTCCACCCAACTTCAAGAAGACATAAGCGCACGCAAAACGAGCACGATTAACAAAATGAGCTCCCTTTCGCAATGTCTTTGTCAGAGCGTAAACTTTCTTTAAAATGAACCGCTGCTGCTGGCCCGTCAACTGTCCCGAGTTTCATTTATCGTTGTTATAATTCATGAAAATGTTACCAGCCAACTGGCGAGTGACACCGTTTTATATACTCACCAAGCGACAAATAAGAGTAAAAATCGGCATTGGCGAGTATATAAAACGGTCACTCGCCAGTTGGCCGATAACATTATTATGAATTATAACAACGATAAACGACGCTTGGGACTAGGGCTGGGTGATAAATATCGATTTCTCGATATTAATCGATTCTCATTTTTTCAGCGCTGTGATCCCTAACCCCACCCCTTAGATCTGCAACTCCGCCCCCTGGATCTTTTTGCTGTGTGTTCTAACTTCTAGCATCCTCAAAGGAAGCGATCTCTGACCTGTGTATGCCAGAGCACTCGATGCAGAGCAGGATGCCGAGGTTTATGCTGGCCCAGCGCGGGTCGGCCTGGCCACAGTCGCAGCAGATCTCGTTTCCCGGCAGACACTGCACGCGCTGTAAGATGCTCTCTCCTCGAACGATACGCTCCCGCGGCTCGCTGGCGGAGTCGATGCTGCTCGTGGAGGGAGAAGCTGTCCTGTCCAGACGCTGGAAAACAGTACAAAGAGTATATACTCATACCTACTCGATGTAAAATACAAAACTACCGGTGTGTAAAATGCAATATGTAATGGGGTCAATGGCACGGTATGCTATTCATACATCAATTGAGGAATTCATGTGGTGCAACTCCCCCAAATGTAAAATTATATGAATTCATTATTTACAGTACTTGTCTGCATGTCTATCTTCAAAAAAATATATTTTCAAACTTTTTGGAAAATACTTTTTACAGGAATCAGTGTTTCACTGCTAATTAATATTTGTTCTGAGATATGGTGCGACTACCAGAAAAAAAAATCATAAAACAGGAAATGACATCACAGAAAGGACCTATGAAGATCATCATAACTGTATGTCAAGGTCAATAAACCTCAAAAAATATCTGATAATAATAAAAAAGGCAAAATTAGTACAGATTATAAAATGCCACAATTACCACCAAAATTTAATGAGATTTGTCAATTATTAGTTTATGATGTGTAAAAAGAATTACTTTTTAAAAAATATATTTTTTGGAAAATACTTAAGGGGGGGGGCATAAGTGCTTCACTGCTTATTAATATATTTTTAAAAATATTAATATATCATGTGGTGCGAAAAAAACAACAAGCATAACACAGGAAATGACATCATATCGGATAATTTGACCGTTTTATAAAAAGACAAATTAGTTCCGTATTGTAAATTGTAAAAAACGGTTCTGATTTAATAATTTGTGTTATTTACCTTGACACGTATTTGAAACCTTTATGAAAATGAATGATTATGATGATGTGTACATTCAAGGTTATTCTATGTGTAAGGAACTTTATTATACCACATGGCATTTTAGATGGCAATATAAGAAAACTGAAGTCATTCAATTTATACTTTGCTTGAAATTATATCACATTTTTTTTTTTAACTTGGTACATTTTTAAGAGCTGTAAATGAGGATTTAAAATCGTTTTTTAAAATATTTTTCTTATTCTTTATTTAAGACACTCCTATTTGTCACTGACCCAATTCCGAACTTTCATTTGAACTTTGAAATGACTTTTTTACCAGTTTACAGTTCATATTGATATTAAAGGAGTAGTTCACTTTAAAAAAAACTAAGGCTGTCAAACGATTAACCGTGATTAATCGCATCCAAAATAAAAGTTTGTGTTTACATAATATATGTGGTGCACTGTGTATAATTATTTTGTATATATATATAAAACACACACATGTATGTATATTTAAAAAAAAAAAAAATTATTTATATATTAAATATTTATATTTATATATAATATAAATTATATATAAATCTATATACAGTATATATATATATATATATATATATATATATACACACACACACAGTATAAGGGTCTTATCAAGTGAAACGATCACTCATTTAAAAAATAAATAACAAAGTTTAAGTTTTATAAGCTCAAATGCTCGCCTTGCTCTGTTCTGTGACGCGCGTTCGTGACTCTCCTGTTCGAACTCGTTCATCAAAATGAAAAAATCTTTTTCCGAGCCATTTGGTTAATTCAACGAACATAATGAACGAAATGACTAAAAAAGATTTGTTCATTTCGCTTGATAAGGCCCTTATTCATCGTCTGGTGTCGTTTAAAGCCCTTTGAAGCTGCACTGAAACTCTCATTTGGACCTTGAACCGTTTGGACCCCATTGAAGTCCATTATATGGAGAAAAATCCTGGAATGTTTTCATCAAAAACCTTAATTTCTTTTCGACTGAAGAAAGAAAGACGTGGACATCTTGGATGACATGGGGGTGAGTAAATTATCAGCAAAAGTTTTTTTTAAAAAGTGAACTACTCCTTTAAATGCCATGCATGTGTGACACTGACACATTACACACAGCTTCTCATAGCAGATTTAGTAAGACTGACCTCTATGTAATAGTTTTCAGAAATCTCTCTGTAGGCAGAAGCAATGCTGGCCTGAACCGCCTGAATCCAAGCTTGACGGAGCTTCTCCGATTCAGCCTGCAGCATACAGCTCCTGATGGGGGTTGATTCGCATATTAGATACCGCACACACACACACACACACTCACATGACACAGTACTCACTTTGTAGGTGACACCACTTCAAAACAGAACCTTCTCTCAATGTCCTCACATGGTTTCACAGAGCAAAGCCGCAGGTCCTCCACAACCACGGTCAAAACGTCCTACGACACACAGCAGATCAGGTCAGGTCACATTAGTCATGTGCAGCACTTGAAAGCAGTAAAAGTCTCTAAGAGTAAATATTTGAATCCTACACTCAGAGGAGAAATGTCTTAAATGATGGCACAATACTTTTTATAAGTAATAAAGTATGTTTATGAGCAGTTTCATAACATTTTATCGAAAAAAACAAAACAAAACTAACCTCTACAACGTTCTAATATACGAAGCACATGACACAACTCTTTATGGTTCGATATAGGTTAAAATGTGCTATATAGAAGAATGTAGAAAAGTTGAAACACTTACTTTTAGTCTCTTCTGATAGACTAGTTGACTGTTCTGTATCGAAAACCATCGCCTGGTACGAGAGGAAAACACGTTAGATTTTCTCCACAAAATGCATGTTATACATACATACAGAGCCTGTACTTACCTGTTCCACGTCTTGAAAGCATTGCTCGCCCTCTTGAACAGGTATCCCTCCATTACGACACCATTGGGAGCATCCATGTTGAATTCTGCCTTGGAGTCATCATAAGCAAAGTCCTGCCGCACAAAACAGAGCAGTTCGTCATTCACACACACAAACTAGACCCTTATTGTTCTGTTAAGTCTTCTGCGAGACAGACAAAACACAAAACTTAATCCCTATCAGTCAAAACATAATCCCCATGACCATAGCAGCCATATCTAATCCCTCTTATTTCAATCAATAATGACCGGCGGCCTCTGAATGGCGTTCCTGACTCGGAGGTATTGCTCAATCTATAAACCAACTGTGTTGCTATTGAGATGTTAGCGATGCTTTCTAAAATGCTCAATGAATGATTCTCCAACATCAATGACACTCACCTTCCAATGGATTTTTCAAGTTTTGTGCTCTGACCACACACACACACACACACACACACACACACGTTTGTTTCATTATATAAGTAAGGACATTGCATAGATCTCCATTGATTTGATATCAGGCTAATGGCCTGAACCAACCCCTACGCCTACACCTAACGATTACAGAAACGCATGTAAAAAACAATGTCAATATAAGAAAACTGATATTTATATGCATTTTATGTAAGTAGTCAGAATTTCAGAATTTCATCATCTTTGTTTTGGACAAATAAATAACAAATCGGGTGTCTGAATATTTTTTTCTTCTTACACTCTCAGAAAAAAAGGTCCAAAAGCTGTCACTGGGGCTGTACCTTTTCAAAAGTTACACTTTTGTACCCAAAGGCTGCATATTGGTACCTTAGTGGTACATATTAGCACCTAAAATGGACATATTACCACCTAAAAAGGACATATTAGCTCATGAAATTGACATATTCGCACCTAAAATGTACATATTAACACTTAAAATTAACATATTAGTACCTAAAATATACATATTACCACCTAAAATGGACATATTAGCTCATGAAATTGACATATTAGCTCCTGGAATGGACATATTAGCACCTAAAATGTACATATTAACACTTAAAATGTACATATTAACACTTAAAATGTACATATTAGCACCCAAAATGTACATATTAACACCTAAAATGTACTTATTAGCACATGAAATGGACAAAAGTTTACCTTTTGAAAAGGTACAGCCCCAGTGACAGCTTTTGTACCTTTTTTTTTTCAGAGTGTAGTATGAGCTCCATTTTCTCCTATATCATATATGAACCACAAAAGTCTGATGTATTAAATATGGCCCTCAAAATAAAACATATATGCAAACCTATTGAAAAGATTTTTTTAAAAATGTTTTGTTTAAAGCTCTAATAAATTGTTCAATTTCATAATAGCAGCATGTTATTTCATGTCAGGCTTTACGTTTCAATAAGAGCGTTTTAGGTTATATTTCATATGCAACACTGAGTTTTAGTTGTATAGTTGCTTCATCTCTCTATTCATTAAGGCATTAATTGGCCTGAAAAAGGTCGTAAAATACACACTAACTAAACAATACATGACTACTCAAGAAAATATCGTTAAATACAGTAATAAAATATGTATCTAGTACGTGTATACAAATAATAGGCTATCTAAACAGTTTATATTGATCTAAAGCACAGATGATTTATTCTAACTCACCAGGGTATACTTCAACCTCCCGAATATCTTCATCTTTAAAAAATGTTTATCCAGAAGCATCAGTAATAATTGAACAACAAGCAGTTTCCCCAAAGAGCTCAGTCTTGTTTCCCTACAGTGAAGCCATCTCACGTCAAAGTCAAAGGCACGCGCTTCATTGCCCTCGTGCGCACTCCTCACTCAAGCGCGAGCGACACGCGAATGCCAGCGGCGAGCCTGCGCATCAGCCATCTACTGCTCAATATTCACATGATTAGCATACAGCTGTCGATTTATGTGCCCTGCTCTTCGCTTTGCCCCCTGACCTCAGTCAGAGAGCCGACCGCAAACATAATTTCACAGCCACGTACAGAAGCACCGCGTCATTCGCGGATTTATGAGCGCGAGGTGCTCAAGCGCGCTCCCCACTCGCGAGAGTCGCGTTTTAAGATGTCCCGTCCATCTGTCTGACAGTGCGCAGGAACATTGCTGTTTAATCAAGCGAGCGTTATTGCCCCCTAAACCCCTCCTGACTCCTGAGAAGCTGTTTCTTCCAGCTCTCACACTCTCGAACAAGTGGATGGATTGCATGAGATGTTCCACTTGTTAAGGATAACGAAAAATTATGACACTGAACCTTAATTAGTGCAATAAGATCAATTTATATTCATAAAATGTTCAAAAAATATTTTGCTCTTTAATTTTTCTTTTAACATTAGTAGAGCATTTAATTTAGAAAACAATGTGTTATGAATTTTTACAAATATATTGTAAAATTATATATAGAATAACACATTTGTAATAAATATTATATAATATTAATAACTAATATATTTGTGTGTGTGTGTGTGTGTGTGTATACCTGTAAAACATTTATTACAAAATATTACAAATAGATTGTAGATTGAGTCCACCAAATTCAATTCAGTTTGGTGTAACCAATATGCAAATGTTCATTTTTGTGTGTGTGTTTGTGACAAAAAAAAAAAAAAAACACAAAAAAAAACAACAAAAAACAATTAAACGGAAAATATGAACTTTTTATGTCAAGGTCAAAAAGTCGGAAAATATGATATTTTAATCTTTTTACGTCAAATGCAGCAACTATTTTTTTTTTTTTTGCGGGAAAAAAACAAAAATTTTAAATTAATAATAATAATATAATAGTAAATAGTAAAATAAAACTAATGATAAATAATGGAAAATATTTTTTTCTTCTTAATATTAACGCTATTACATTTTTGTTGAAAATAGAAAAACCCTTTTTTGTATAAATGCATGAAACATTAATAAGATAGCATTTCTAAGAAATTGGCACGTGTTTTCAAGTAGATTTAGAAAAGATTTCTCCTTTTCATCATCTCAAACATTTGTGGTAAAAGTAAAACTGCACATTTTGCAAGTCAAATTCAACACAAAGAAACTTGCGTATGTTCAGCTTGTGAAACAATTGCAAAATAAACAAATGCAATCTGGTTCTCAGTCCTTTATTCGCAACGTTTTGTGTTCTATGTTAGCACCGCATGCACACACACACACACACACACACACACACACCTCGTGCAGATGAGTCTGCCAAACAGCGGAACTCAATGAGACTGAGAAGCATGTTACATGTGAATAAAAGAGTGAGTTAGTGTGTGTGTGCATGTGTAGGAGTGACAGATGCAACACGAGGAGGTAGTAAAACAGTGAGGTGGTGGGACGGCCAGGGAGATCGTAACTCTTCACACTGAAGAGAACATGTTCAGGCATCTCTGCAGACAAATCATCTGATAAATCAACAGGATGCTTCCGCCCACCGCTTTGCTCAGGAATCGCAGCTGCTCTGCTCTCATATGTCATTTATAAAGAAAATGTTTTGCATATATATATTTCTTGAAACTTTACATATTCTGAAGATTGTGTCTATGCAAAACTCACTGAGACAATGGCAAGATGCTGCTTATGATTGTCAGATGTTATGGTGCTCTGATTGGTTTTTAGCGTTTCGCTATGAATTGCTAGTTGCTAATGGGCGAGGTCAGTATGGCACGTCTTGGGATCTGTGCAGGGTGTCGCCAAGGGTGGGCATTCGGGAAAAGTGCATCCCCAGGTGACACAATGGGCCCCTATGAGTATGGTCATTCAGTGAACTTACAACTAACAGCAAAAAACACGATTTCTTTTTGTGGATTTGTATGGTGGCTGAGAGAGCTCAATGTGCTGCAGCTGAAGAAAACACATGCAAATAGAAAAACACCAAAAATTAAGAAAACATCATGGAAGGGCTGCAAATACAGCACACAAATGAACTGGATGTTAAGATTATAAAAAAAACCTCACAAGGTCATTAACAAAACCACTGCCGAGTAGACACTTAACAATAAGCAGGTTCGTCGCTTGTTGTGAGTATTTGCAGAACGTTTCTGTATTCGGTTGTGTTGTGAGTATTTGCATCGTGTTTCTGTATTCGGTTGTGTTGTGAGTATTTGCATCGTGTTTCTGTATTTGGTTGTGTTGTGAGTATTTGCAGTGCGTTTCTGTATTTGGTTGTGTTGTGAGTATTTGCAGTGCGTTTCTGTATTTGGTTGTGTTGTGAGCATTTGCAGCGCTTTTCTGTATTCAGTTGTGTTGTGAGTATTTGCATCGTGTTTCAGTATTTGGTTGTGTTGAGAGTATTTGCAGAGCGTTTCTGTATTCGGTTGTGTTGTGAGTATTTGCAGAGCATTTCTGTATTCGGTTGTGTTGTGAGTATTTGCAAAGCGTTTCTGTATTCGGTTGTGTTGTGAGTATTTGCAAAGCGTTTCTGTATTCGGTTGTGTTGTGAGTATTTGCAAAGCGTTTCTGTATTCAGTTGTGTTGTGAGTATTTGCAAAGCGTTTCTGTATTCGGTTGTGTTGTGAGTATTTGCAAAGCGTTTCTGTATTCGGTTGTGTTGTGAGTATTTGCAAAGCGTTTCTGTATTCGGTTGTGTTGTGAGTATTTGCAAAGCGTTTCTGTATTCGGTTGTGTTGTGAGTACTTGCAGCGCGTTTCTGTATTTGGTTGCGTTTTGAGTATATGCAGAGCGTTTCTGTATTCGGGGAAGATCTCCTTATCATCACACTTGAGTTGGTTCACCCTCCACCAAAACTCATATTTGAAGCATTACCTCACAAAACGGAACTTGAAACATAGGCAACGTTTACAATGGCACAAAAAATCAGATTTTTTTAACTTGCATTGGAATTTGTTGCACACGTGTAAACACAAATCACCACAAGATCCTATTTTAATACATCCGTTCTGAGCCACTTCCAAATGTGGTATCCACAGATATTCCATATCTGGACATCTGACCTTCAGGAAGGGATAATGTACATCTCAGAATACACCCTGATAGAGTGATCAGGACCCTGACGCGAAACAAAATATATGTAATAGTATCTCAATGACACTAACATTACACTCTGTGATTAACATTTTCTCACAGGCTGTGTGACTGAACTTGGTAGAGATGTTCCTCACCCCTCGGGGTCAACAGGTCACAGGACAACATGCTGTTTTGTGGAAGTGTGTAGAACATACCGGACGAGACGTACTGAATGCCATGCTGCACGCTTTAAGCTTATTACGGACTTTACAGCTGTTCTCTTTCTCCCAAATTAGTTTCTCACTCTCTTTCATCCGCAGGTCAAATGTTCCTCGCTCTTTTCTTTAGCTGTTTAGCAACCCACTTTTCTTTGTAATTCAAATGTCCTTTTTTGTTATACAATTATTTTTGTCCCAGTACTCTGCCTGTCTCTAACATCTGCTTTTCCTTTTATCTCGTAACTTTGAATACCATAAATACACAAACCAATGCACTAAAGAACGGGGGTGGTAAGAGTTTAAAAAATGTTTATGTTCATTTGATATCACTCTTAAAGAGACAGTTCACCCAAAACTTAACTTCGATGCATCATGATGGGTCACAAAACATAAAAAAAATAGTTAGATGAAAAAGATTTGATAGCTTGGGGAAAATGAATAAGAAATTGTATTATGAATAAGGACTTTTATTATGCTTTTATGCCATTAATACAAAGCTATTCAAGTCTTGTCCCCACACAAAGAAGTCCAAATGAGTCTATATTACTGACAAAAAAAGCCTGGATGTGGAAAGAAACAGGATGGCACATCAAATTGCTCTGCTGAGGCTCCTAACAGATTTTGTCATGTGAATGTTTACCTCATGTTGGCCTCTAAAATCTTGTTGTTGTTGCAGAAACAGGAGGTTCAATTCATCTGCAAGTCATGTTCTAGATTACAGTCTTGCCCTGCAGACAATCACACTCGCACGTGTGCACTTGAGTGAGCAGCGCTCTTGAATCAAGCTCCCTCTGTTCGGGACAGTTGGTGGCACTAATTTGTCCATGTTTTTGGCGCGCCAACTCTTGCCCTCTCTAAGCATCGGGTCTCTGCCATCTGCTATGTTTAGCGGTGTTGGCCAGAGCAGAAGTAGGCAAAGTGCCCAGTGAGAAACTTCCAGACCTCAGCTGACTTGAGAGTCTCAACACACACACACACACACACACTCACCTGGTGCTGCATGTTAGTTGCACCGCGTGAATTTAATATGAAAAATTTTAATATATAAATTACCACAAGATTATTAAGAGTTTTCTTGTCAAGAATTGTATTCTTTTAAAACCCCATCATGCATTCAGATCAATTTTGACGCGGAAGGCATACATACACTTGTGGTCAGCATAAAAAAAAGTACTATTTTTAAATTTTTTATATGAAATATATATTTTTCCAAAACAGGTTTTACTCTAAAACTGTCAGAAAAATCAAAGCCATCCATCTAAAGAAGTTGTGTTCCAAATTTGAGGTTGATTTCTTAAAAAAATGTAGCTTTCAGTAAGAATTTGTTTGGATCAAGTATCAAACGTTTCCACTAGATGAAATTCGTCTCCCATTCATTTCCAATTAGCTAATTTTAGAGTCATTTTTTCAGGACCATTTAACCTTTTCGAATCAGGTCCGTGATTTTTGTTTGTGTTCACATAGCAAGAGCCACAACTTTTATCAAGTGTCTTACCATTCCGATGAAGTACAGAAATGATTAAAAAAGTAGTAATTTGGCAACATTTAAAACCTTGAGATTTACATTAATGAAAGTTATTGATCAGATACGATATGGTTTTAGTTGAAAAATACTAATTTAAGACTGTGTTATAAGCTCACATTCCACCGGGTCCAAACAGACATGGGTATGCAAAAAATTGCATGCAGATTTCCAAGGCATTATGGTGGTAATGAAGCTTTTTTCTTTATTATGATATCTAGTCAGCGGCACCACGTGACTTTATGCCCCCCAAAAGTTTAAATTATAAATATTTTTCTCTTAGAATAGATCATCAAATCATTGTATTTATGAACTGCATTTTATTGCATAGTTTGTGATATTTACATTTTTGCACACTTGTTCCATTATTATCTTCTGCTTG